TAAACGTTTACTTTACGTTTACGTTTACGTTACGTTACGTTCGTTACGGTACGGTACGTACCGACCCTACCCTACCCTACCTACTAACTAGTACTACTCTCGTCTTCTCTCTCTCTTCTCTCTCTCTCTCTCTCTCTCTCTCTCTCTCTCTCTCTCTCCTCTCTCTCTCTCTCTTTCTCTCTCTCTCACACACATAGAGAGGCACACATGGAGAGGTTGTATCAGAATTCATGAGATCTTAAATGTTGTGCAGTTGCGGCCTTTGCATATGGAAGGGTGGTGTTCTGCATCAATTCTGTCAATTATTTTGCGATGAAGATATTTTCAAGGATAGAGAGTTCTCAGATCAACGTGGTGTACACAGCCCATGAGAGGAGTGAAAAATGTGGGATCCTCCTAGATGCCCTTCTTTTTTCCTGATAGAATATTTCTTTTTTTGAGTTCAATTCAATGAGGTTGTGACAGGCCTTCCAATTTGTTTTGCAGGTCCGGTTATGTGGTGCACTGTACAGTAATCCACGGGAAGTGGAGATGTATATGATAGAGTGAGAAGTTGAGCTAATGCAAGTGAAGTAGTAGCATTGTGGCCCTTGTAATATATTTCTTTTTTTCTCTTGTTCTTTTATTTTTGGTTGTAGTAGTGTGTATTTAAATGGAGTAAAGAGCAAATCTCGCCATCAATGGGAGATGATCGGGTGGCCTCTGTTGTTAAATGCAGTGTCAAATATTTGGGCTTGCATTTTTTGGGATCAGTATGCAAATTATCCCAACAGCTTGCCCCTCAAATCCCCCATTTAATCCAAACTTACCTTTGCAAACATCATTTAAAAACATAAGAAGTCACTTTCGGGAAGAAGTCGCGTTGTTCATTTGTTTTGTGAAATGGTTCTGTAAGATGAAACATGTATTAACCCAATTTGTGCGTCTCAGCCAATGAAGATCCTGATTGACATTTTTTACAGCAATTGGCAGAATCCAGAAACATTTGAGGGGCGTAGGCATTGTTGATGGTGGAACTAGAGAAATTGTAGAAAAAACGGATATCAGATTTATAAAGGTTTTTTGAAAATAGTTTAAAATCTATTTTTCTCTTTATATATTCTGCTTTTGTACTTGATCTTGAGACAATAGCTTGTTTCTCTCTCATCTAAGATAGAAAATTGTGAATTAATTAGACAATCACGATGCTTTGGTCTTCTGAACATTTGGCCCACTCTGCATCTAAAATCATGTCCATGTAATTGACCTTGAAGAAAGCTTAACATACCTCCCTGTGTGCGAGTCAATTTCTGCATGAAACTTAATAAAAATACAAACAGCATAGGCTAGGTCTTGGACTTTTGACTAATCGTCTATACATGACAGCATCTTCCTGCGGCTCTAAATTTTTTTTGGATTCGAAATACTTTGCAATAGTAGGAAAATCAGTAAGAAAACCATGGGTATTTACAAAGGTTCCTAATTCATGTAGATACTAAGAAAAATGGACTCAGCCTTCAACAGGCAAGAACACTATCGTTTAAATGAAAAATACACCTAAACATTATTATGATATATATAGATCTTGGTAACAAATCTATACCTTTTATTTGTATACAAATTAGAAAGGCTTCAATTATAGATTCATTTTTAAATAAAGAGAAAAATTAGACGAATGGTCAAAAGTCCATAATCTATACATCCTAATTTTTAACCTAGATCATAAACCCCTAAAATTTTAGATAAAAATCCATTTTATCCCAAGCATTATGCCTAACATCTAACAAATATTTTAAATATTTTGCTTTTAGATTATAATTCTAATATGGATGAATTAAAATATCAATTTGCCCAATATGAGTGTATTGAAAGTTTTTGCTAACCGACCTTTTAGCTTCGTATTTTTAAAAAAAATGGTAAAAATACAAGACATATACCTTGACCTTTTATGTTCAAATTTACTTCAGTTTGTCTAAGAAATTCTAGTAACCTAGACTTTGAATAGGGAATTTTATACGAGCCTTCTTTGTTTAAATCTGGAAATATGCTATCGTCTTTTTTGTCCACAAATCCTTCTTGTTCTAGAATAAAAGAACAAAGGCAAGAAGATTTAATTAATGAAGAGTTTAGATTTTTAGGATCATCAGAAACATAATTCTTGGGAATTGAAATTTCAGAGCCTGTGGCTGAGGGGATGAATCATTGTTAGTTTCAAAAATAGGCATTTGGTCGTTTGACAAAGAATTCAGCCATTGTGTTTCTTCATTCTCCATATATTCATCAAATATTGGAGGTTCTTCTCAAATAATCTTCTTCTCCTTATCCTTTTCTTTGACATGGTTCTAGAATCTTGGGGCGGTATATTCTTCTCCTGAGAACTTGTAATCTTTTTGTTCTTTCTTATCTCTCTACTATTCTTGTTTTTTGAGTGCTCTTTTTTTGTTTTTTTCCTATGTACATATGCAAAATCTTATCCGTAATCTCCAATGGGAAGAAGTTACATATACTTATCTGGAAAAGGCTCGAAACCAACTATTTCTTTCAAGAGCTTCTAGATAGGCTAGTTTATAAACATTTTCACTTTCAGTAATTCTAAGTAGATGTATCCATTGATATATTCTAATTAACCTTTAAATTCATATGTTGGATACCGGTTTAAATGGCAAAAATAATTGAGTATAGGAAGAGAAAGGACCCATTGTTAGTAATAGTGATATAAATTGCAAAAGAGTAAGACCCATGGTTAGTAGTAGTAGTATAAATTGCAAAAATAATTGAGTATAGAAAAGAAAGGACCCATTGTTAATAGTAGTAGTAGAACCATGTAGTAATAGTAGGTCAAAATATTTTTTATACGCAAGCAGTCATGGAGAGAGAGAGAGGTTTCAAAGCAGTAGATAAACAGTTATGAAAACCACAGATCAAAATATTTTTTGTACACAAGCAGTCCTGGAGAAAGAGTGAGGCTTCAAAGCACATATGTGCCAAAAAGAAAAAAAAAGAAAAAGAAAAAAGGGTTGTGAATCCTTAATTCAATGGACGGAAATAAATTTTGCCAGAAATCACAGAACATGGCCGGAATTTAAGAGAACGCTGATTGGCCGTGATCTTCAAAGAATGGCGATAAAGTGGGGAAATTCTTTTCTAAAAGGAAAATGTTTATATAGAGCTGAGGCTCTAAACAATCAAATTAGAGCGCATCTCAAAATTTTTATTAGAAGAGATTGTTTTGATGCTTAAATATCTTCAAATTGATCAACTCAATATCAAGATGTGTGGACATGAGAAAATAAGGATTTCAAATTTTTGAAATAGTGCATCTTGTAATGCATTTTTGGACCGTTAATTTTCAAAATTTTCCAATATTCATAGATATGCTTGATGTACACTATATTTGAAGCTTTAAATTTATAATTAAAAATAAAAATATATTTTAAAGCTATCAAAAATATTTTCAGTATTGAAACCGCATTTCTGGACACTATTTGAAGGTGTGCTTTGTTTTGATTGTTTAAACTTTAAAGCAAGTTTTTTTTGTGACCCCATCCACATACCCACGTATATAGTTTATGTGACCACTTGTTTCAGCTTTCAGATCTGGGAAGATATTTGAGAAGGTTTGAGTCCCAATGTCACACTTTTTGTGTACCCTTCCCTGATAAGGTGCGACTCTACTACCACTCCCTCGCTCTACTGATTCTCAGTAGTCATGAAGGTCATTGCTGCTTTTCTACTAGCCGTCTTGGGAGGAAACCCTAGCCCTACTGCTGATGATGTCAAAACCATCCTCAGGTGAACATTCTCTCTCTCTCTTATCCTAGGGTCATTGCTCGAATCTCTTAGTGTCTAATAGCAAGAACCAAGGTAAAATGGAACCCTATTTCGGGTTTTGTGGTTCAGTTCTGCTTAGTGATTAGGAGTTTTGGGTCTATGGGTTGCGTGATAGATAGATACATCAACTATATGAATGAAATCTTGGTTTCTGATTTCCATGATTTCGAACTTCATATCTGTTGTCTAGGAATAGAAACTATGCATTTCACAATGTTAGATTTACTGGATTTTGCCTATTAGATCTTTTTGCTAGGTAAGCGGAAGGATTAGAACCTTGGACATTACACTGCGGCGTCAATGCCCTAATCACTGAGCCAAGAGCCCCAATCCAGCTCTATCAGAACTTTAGGGTAGTAAGATCATTGTCTGGCTAGAGGTTACGGTTTAATTTTCGTTCGCCCAATATAATTTAGTGGGTGCTTAAATCTAAAAGTTTAAAGCTTAAGTGTATTTGGTATCGAGGACGGAGTAAATAGCATTCAGTGCACGGAGTATTATTTCCATAGTGCAGGAGTGTTCGGAGTATTCTTTCCATTGTGCAAGGGTGTTGGATTTGGTTATGGTCTATTATTTGGGGTCTCATGTTATTCTTGGAATTTGGAGTTCTTATTTTCTTATTATTACTTTTTTTTTTTACCAGTCATTTTTAGATAGTAATTCTCATGGTTTGGGTTTCATTATCTATTGTTTGTGACTTTTGGGTGAAAGTGATTCAGAAACTCAGTTCTTGGCCCTCAGCCCTGGGTTTGGATGGCTCTTGATTTAATTTACATTTTCTTGGTTTAGAGTAGAATGCTTTGAATTGAGGGTGCCATGTTCAATAACAATCTCCTTTAATGCTTTTAGACCATGACTCTCAGCTTTTAAATGATGTTGACTTGCATGTACTATCGTGTTTTCTTTGTAATGAAATTGTACTTAGAATTCTTGACACACTTATGAAGTCTTGCGTTTAAAGTTCAGGAAAAATTGAGTTTAAAAGTATGTTTTGTCCCGTGGTTGATTTTTAGATGATAAGGAACTCATACCATACATTCTTAGTGTCCATAATATACTTCCCCAAGTAGTAATTTTTTTTTTTTATCATCACATAATACTCTCATCGGCACAGAGTGACCAGATACAAATAAATAAAGGTTTTAGAGTCCTAATTCGATGTGACCATGGCCTTGAGCAACTATAGAGAAGGAAAAATAAATGAAATGGAATGCAGTACTTGTTATTGGTTTTGTGTCTGTTGGAATTGTCAGTATAACCTTCTCAAGTCATAGGTGTGGTCATAAATGTCTTAGTGGAAATACATTTGATTTTGATTGTCTTGTTGTTATTTAAGAGATCTCTTCCTTAGTGCATTTTTGTTGTTGTTGTTGAGGATTTATGTCTCGTGGTTTTTATTGTCATAGGCACTAGCATTTCATGCTTAGGGCTCACATAGTGTCTCTTTGTTGCGGGTGTGGTACTAGATATCTTGTAATCTGACATGGCCTATGAATTGTAGATCTGTCTATTGAGCCTGAAAGGCATTAGAAGCCATGGTAAATTTGATGTAGGCCACAGAAGCCAACTTTTTTATCTTATATACATAGACTCTCCGTGTTGAGTGTTTCTTGTAGCTAAGGAATGGGATACCTTTTCATGTCCAAATAATTGCATCATTCAGGTATCAGGACTAAATATATGATTTAAGAATCACTATTGTTTGTCTAGATGGACAAGCGTGTCACACATGGTTACGCATGCCAACTTTTAGATCATGTATTCTCGTTTTTATCAGATGTTGACGCATAAGACAGTATATGGCCTCATTGAAGTGGTGACATCGGCCACATCAGGTGCACCTTGCCTAGGCCAATATGCAAGATGCGCCCGCCTAGGCGGCGCATAGCATGCACTGGCAGTCGCATAGCATGCATTGGCCCATAGCATCCCCCCCTTCTCCCCTCCCAAATCCCTTTATATCCAAACTTTGTTGAATTAAAACTTTATATCCAAAATTTGTTGATCATAAGGGAATTAAACCTTTGTTGATCCTAAGGGAATTAA